GTCGATATACCACGCCAAGCTCGTCATGGTCGCCTGCTTCTTTGGCTGGGCCGGCAACGTCGTCCTCAACCGCACTTTGCCATTTAACCCGGCCACCCTGCTGCCCGTCGTCGCCCTCTGCGTCCCCGCGATCCAGTACTACCTCTATCAGACCAGCGCCCTGCTGACTGCGTACTGGGGTCCCCTGGTCATGGAGGCCGTCACGCTGTTCCCCCTCGTCGTCATCTCGGTGAGCTGCGTGGCGACGGAGATGGAGAAGGTGAGCCTGTCCAAGCTGCCCAAGTTCCTCGCCGACGCCGCGCCGGGTCTGGGCTCCTGGGGCCTCTTCCGCTTCGTCGAGACGCTGTCGGGTGACTATCTGCAGACCTACGTCGGCCGGTCCTTCTTCCAGACGCGCATCGGCCTCGAGGCGCTGCTGGGCGCCGCATATGCCGTTTACGCCCCGTCCAAGCTGCTCCTTCTCGCCGTCCCGGCCGTACTGCACACGGCGTTCTTGAACCCACATGCGCTGACGCCCATGGCTGCGGCTTCGCTCAACTCCACATTGCAGGCGGATAACTGGTTCCTGCTGGATCGCAAGGAGTCCGTCACGGGGTACGTCTCCGTGCTGGAGAGTATCAAGCACGGGTACCGTGTCATGCGGTGCGATCACTCGCTGCTCGGTGGCGAGTGGGTGAAGCACAAGGGTCCTCGCGTCGCGGAGCCTATTTATGGTGTCTTCGTCATGTTGGAGGCTGTTCGGCTTGTTAAGACGACCAAGGCTGTTCCCGACTCCAAGGCCAAGGCTCTGAACATGTAAGTTGCTGCTCTTCCTTGGCAAGGGACCTTGGAGAAAAAATTACTAACGACAAACCAGCGGCCTTGGTATCGGTACTACGCCCGCGGCTTTGGTCGCTCACGGCGTCGACACGACGATTGTCGAGATCGACCCCGTCGTGCACGAGTTTGCGTCAAAGTACTTCCAGCTGCCGTCCAACCACACACCCGTCATCGCAGACGCGGTAAGCTACACGCGCAAGCTCGCCGACGACCCGGACGCGAGATTCGACTACATTGTCCACGACGTCTTCACCGGCGGCGCCGAGCCCGTGCCCCTCTTCACCCTCGAGTTCCTCCAGGGCCTTAACTCGCTCCTCAAGCCAGACGGTGCCATTGCAATTGTGAGTCACGTCCTTCGTTTACGCAACCCATTGTGTATAGTTCGTATATACTCACGTCAGTCGTAGAACTACGCCGGCGACTTCCTCCACCCGGCCCCCAAACTCGTCGTGGACACAATCAGAGAGGTTTTCCCCTCCTGCCGCATCTTCCGCGAGTCGGAGCACCCTACCCCGGAGAAAATCGAGGAGGAGGGCCAGGATTTTACCAACATGGTGATCTTTTGTAAAAAGACGTCCGGGAAGCTCAAGTTCAGGGCCCCCGTTGAAGACGACTTCTTGGGCAGCCGCACCCGCCGCGCGTTCCTGATGCCGGCGCACGAGGTGTTTCCCAAGCACTTTTTGCAGGGGGATTACGGGATCTTGAGGGATAACAGCACGGAGCAGCTGACTAAATGGCACGAGAAGAGCGCGCTGGGGCATTGGGAGGTGATGCGGGTTGTGATGCCGGATAAGATTTGGGAGTTGTGGTGATTGTTCCTATTGTCGGGAAATGGTGTTTGCGCAAAAAGTCCGGATCAAGGGTGGGAATCGACGAACAGTCATTCCATTGGAGATGAGGAGTGCTTGTTCCCTGTACATATGGTACTCCGACATGTGTAATTATATTGGAATGAGTTAGAGCTGCGTGCCCCAACTATCAGGCTCACCTAGAAGAAACTGTTCTCTGAGTACAAAATGAAACCGCTTTTATCGAAAATTCTTCACATGTCCTTAGCATGCCTTCTGTATCCCATCAACTCATCACTCTGCACTACCTGTCGAAGCACCTTCATCCTTCATCTCCATAATACTACCTCACTCATCCTCACCTCCCTTCTTCACGACAACCTTCCTAGCAGCCTCAAAAGCAGCCTCCTTCGCCACCGCATTCGTCTCCCGCACATACTCCCCCAAATACCCAGGCACCTCCGCCACCTCATTATACGGCCCGGCCACAGGCTCCCCAAGAACCTGATAGACCGGCACGACCCCGGTCCACACCCTCCCCGTAACCTCCGCATCCTCTTTATCAGCCCTATCGTCCCCCGGCGGCCCCTCGCGGATCTTGGCACTCCCCGTCGCGATGCGCACTTTGAGCACGCTCGTGGAGGATAACTCGCCCTTGTTGGGTGGCACGCGGGACGCCTCCCAGCGACCTGGGACGACGCCGTCCGTGATGAGCTGCATCGCGTAGAGGCGCTCCGCGGGGTCGGAGACGAGGGTTGCGTGGCCGAAGAGGACTGCGGAGCGGTAGTTGTAGCTGTGGGCGTTGGGCGTCAGGGCCAGGACGAGGCCGTCTAGGTGGGATGCTGCGATGCAGACGGGGAGGCCTAGAGAAGACGAAGTGGACGAAGTAGAAGAGGTAGAGGTGGACGTAGGAGAGGCGTCAGAGGGTTGACGGGAGATGTTTATGAGGCGGGAGGAGACGTAGCCGTGGAGGTAGAGGTCCAGGACGTCGCCTTCGTCGGCGGAGGGGCGGGAGAAGGAGCCCATTTGGCCGAGCATGGGGAGGATCGTGGGGAAGGGGGATTGCGGGTCGTTGAAGGAGACGTGGAGGATTGGGCTTGTGTTTATTATGGTGTGGATTGTGCGGAGGGCGTAAGATGCTGTGAGGTTGTGTTAGTTGATGACTTCGTGAAAAGGTTTTGAGATGAGAGGGAGAGTGAGAGTGAGGCATACCACGCGGGCTGTAGCGTTTGACGGTGCCATATGGCTCTTTGGGATACTCAAGTTCAGTGCGAGGCATGGTTGGATGCTATTTTCCTGTTGAGATGATTGATGAGATTATTTGGTGCGTTGGTGTTGCAACAAACGTCTAGTTCTAAAGCCACTACTAAATGATCTATTCGAGGTTGTCTGTCTCTCTTTGTATTATCATTCCCCCCTCTCCAATTTGATAACAAGAAACGCCTATCCAATGACACGACGAAGAAAAAACACGCCGTTTACGCCCGCCGTCATCCCGCGTAGACTTATTGACTCATCTGGGGCGAACCGGGCCGGGTGAGGTTCACTATGCCTTTCGGGCCCGGCTCCGAAAGGAAGAGAAGCCATGCGGAGTGAGGTGAGGTGATGTGATGGCGGGATCATGGAGGGAGGGGTTTAGCGGCACCGGCAAGCGGCATACCTGCACACGTTGCAGTCCCACGCCAGACTAGATCGAGTAGGTCCAAGCAGCCACCTTGGTGTCTGTCGGGCTCCCGCTGTCAATGACCATCTACGTGTGGCGCGAAGGAGCTAGCGGCCATGCAAGATCTTGTGCTAAGGAGTGCTTGTCTTGAGTGATGACCTTTGCGGTCGTCGTCTGTGGACGAAGCGGCGCGGGACCCAAGTGAGCGGGCGGGGGCGGAATTACCGGATAAGGTGTGGAGGCGCGTCCCCGGTCAGGCTCTCGCTGATGTGGGATGGATCACGGCTCTACGGATGGGAACCGGACATCTCGTGACTGGCATCTAAGTGTTGGAACAGGTAGTCTCATCTATCGCTTGAGTCAGCGGGGGAAGAGAATATTCCCAAACCCGTTCGAAGCCTCAAAATGCCATTGGGAAGAAGTGCCACAGCGAGACCAGTCTTTTCAAAGCCCGACGGACTTGAGCCTGATCCTCGCCCCCAGGACTCAAGTCGGCAAAGGCTGTTTCTTTCCTTCCAGAGAACGTTTGTCCCAAAACCTTGGGCTACTGCCGATGCCCGAGACTGCAAAGTTTACCATCATCTGTATGTACGTGTAAGAGGAAGAAGAAAGCGTTAGAGTTGAGGGCGGGGTAAAATGATGGATGGCGATCACGTTCGTCTCCTGGGGCCATCAGACGGGACAAGCTTCAGGCCCTGAAGGTTTGTTTGCTATGCTTTGGTGCGTCCCCGAGTCCTTGAAAGTTGGAAGAATGAGAGGGAAGAATCGTTGAAGCAATCTTGTTCCTACGCCGTCTACGCGCAGGAGTTTTTTTGCCTATTCTTCACGCCTCACTGGGCTCTCGTGATTCAATCTCCTGAAGCCGAGGCGCTGGTCCTTTTTGTGTGCTGTCATTATACAGCCAAGTACGTGTGGTTTATCTTACATGATATCGCACAACTTCGCCTCATTGATGGCATATCGGTAGGATGTCTTCCGGGCGCGCTCACGGGCATCTATCGTTAGAGAAACAGCACCTACTGTCCAAGGCTACTGCAGAGTATTTGACGGCAAACGCACAGAGGGAACCGAGTGGAAGGAAAGTTGAGGAAACAAAGGCGCATGCAGAGGCGGTAGAAACAAGTCTTGCGTTGCTTTACCTGCCAGTGGCGCCGCTGCGTACCTGCGCCGCCCCCCGCATACCCGCGCAGAGTCAAAGAGTCTTGATGTCTTGGTCTTGGTGTACTACACCGCACTAGACAGAGTGACGGTCAAGACAATGTCCACGAATGGTCGGTGATGTTGGTGGTGTAAGAAGATGAGCGGCTGGTCGGATTCGGTAGCAGCCGAAACGCAGGATAGCTGGGCGGCCAAAGCTTGATTGATTAGCCTTTTGGGACCATCCGACCTTTACTAATCAGCTGGTGCCCTCGGTCTTCGCAGCACGTAATTCACAGAGGGTGAAATCACTGGAACTTGTGGAAGCAGGGCACTCTTGTCTCTTGAATCTTGAGTCTTGAATCTAGCCCTCGTGGGCAACCTCCGCCGTCACAGGGGAACCCTCGCCAGCTGTCTCCACTGTAGAGGGTGCGCCAAGAAACATCGAATCCCCTGACAAATCTCAAGGAACACTGGGAATCTCCCATTCCTTTCTCTCTCCCAAAATCCCTCCTCACGCCCTCGTGACCATCCATCGCCTTTAGCATACTACGGATACAGAGCAAGAAGACTCTCACAGTCACACAGACTCAGATACCTCAGCCCTTTTCTCTTCAGTCCACCACACCAAAGTCGACTGTCTGAGCTGCTGCAGACGTGCCCCTGGCGCCACCGGCTTCTTCCCTGTATCCGCCATCCGATTCCCTGGAGTCCTGGACTGCAGCTGGCTCTCCCTTACCTCACCTTATTTTCCCACGGCTCGACCCAATTGCTCGCTGCAGGTGTATCTGTACAGCTGCACTCGTCGACAGAGTGAGAGAGAATGCGAGCGAGGAAAAGGACGAGGACGAGGTGCCTTGCTGCATGACGGGTACACATGTCACCCCAGAACCGAGGATAGCTCTGCCAAAAGGCGATTGCTTTTCAGAGAGAAGGCGTTCGACTCTTCATGTTTCGATCAACCAGGAGTCCCAGGACATCTGCAGTTCCAATGGAGACACGCGGGCTGCACAGGGGAATCACCGTTGCGTCGTTCAAAGGTTCTATTCTCGGGCCTCTCTCCTCTGCTAAGCGCAGGTAGGTTTCTGATGCGAGGAATGCACCTTAGTACCTTCTTTTCTCCCCCTCCCTCATGGCGAGGCCAGCGGCAAAGTTAGACGTCAATTGTCAAACAGCAAGGGCAGGCTGCGTGTGTTTCCACATATGGCCAGCAATTGGCCGAGTCTATCATCTCTGGTCTTCAGGATGTTCCTCTGCACTCTGGTATTACGGAGTACTGCACAATTGTTCGACGAAGCGCCGACCTTCAGAAACTCCTTGTTGCAAGTCCACGGGTCGATTAGCCCCAAAATTGAGCCTTAACGAACCATCGCTACTCCATTGGACGATGACGATGGGACACAACAAGTGTTGTCAAGGTCTGCGCTGCTCTAGTGTTATTTCCAGCTACTAACACGAGTCCATCCAAATCGTTCCATACCAGCTAAGAAGAAAAACCCCCACAAAAAGGGTCTGACTTTCCTGTTCCGATGACAAGAATAAACCACCCTAGGTCCCAAAAGACACGAGGCGAATTGCTATAGATGAGAAGAAACCACCGGCCAGACAGACACCCTGGACCAGACCCAAAGACCAGAAAAAGAAAGAAGATAAAAAAGAGTCAAGACGGATGGAATGGAATGGGGCCTCTGGCCGGCCCTGGACCCCTCCATCCCGAACATCGTGGGTTTCGACGCTGAAACAGAGTCGACGCACGCCACGGCGTCGTGGTGGATAGAACAAGGTTCTAACCCCTGTCAGCCTTGCCGCCAGCCCAATCACCGCCCCTGACCAGTGCCGGCATGAACGACGTATCGAGAGATCTCTCACAGCACCCTGCCCACGGCCGGTTTGAGACCCTCTTCCCTCCTACACTACGCTTGTCGAGTGTCTACTGTCAAGTATCTCATTTTTGCAACTCGACTCTTCAGAAGGACCAGACATCATTTCAGCCGATTCTGGCTCTGGGATTGGCTTAGACCATCCGCTGAGGTAACATCTGGCCGGGTCCCCCAGAACCCTCATACCGAGAATAACCTTGGAAATAGGCTACCACAGTATGCCCGTCCCATGAGACGAGGCCGGGTACTTCGTACGGATACTCTGGTCTGCAGCGTCTGCAGGTACTGCTGGTCTTCCCTGACCTCCGTGCCTCTTCATCGTGTGTCCCTGGCGTTACGTCTTCCTGCTCCCTCATCTTGCTCCAGCGCGGTAGCCCATACGTAGACGCAGCCGCAGCCGCAGAATCACCGTCCATCCATCCATCCATCCATCCATCCGTACCTTTCTTTACACTACCACATCCAAATCTACTCTGAGTCTCTGACTATCCGTACCTGACCTTCCACCATCTGCACACACCCCCCTCCCGGTTTGTCAGTCTGCCGGCTACTCTGTTCTCCTTCCCTCTTCGTCTGTGCCCCCGTCTTCGCTCTCCACTCTGGTGCGTCCCCGAAAGCGTATCGAGAGAACATCCGCCTCTGCTCGTCCTACCGCGCGCCCTCACACATCTCCGTCCTGTCATCCTTCATACTATCTATCTGCCACTTCGTGTGTACATCGTGGGGCATCTTTCCTGTCATGTTTGTCTTTGTTTGATCGTGGAATGCAACCATAGTACGAGGCATTCTCACAATGATTCGTTTCCTTCACTAAGACTTTTTTTTCTTTCCTTCAACATTCCCCCATTGACTGGGTTTTTTCGATTCTCCTCCCGGCCGGCCCGCGGCCCCGACAAACGAAATGTTCATTCCAGGAATTGTTCAGGCCTTGGTCTCGGCCCTTACCTTGTTAGTCACCCGTCATCACCTCCATCGTCGACGCCAGTTAGGGACAGTTGGGAGCCTCAAATGTGAAAAGAGGCATGGAAGAAACAATCATGGGCATGGGAGACAACTGAAGAGCGGAAGGAACCGCGAGAACGGCGGGAGAACATTTGCGCTAACCATCCTGATTCACAGTGGAATCGTCATCCAAGCCGCGACGCCCGCCGTCTTTCCTTTAGCAAAGGGCCATGGCTCAAAGATCTTTCGGGACGGCCTGAGGCTGGTCCTCATCACATTCCTTGTATCATCCGCCCTGTGGGCTCAAATAGACTTCACCGGCATCACCCTCGACCCAACCTCGACTGCCGGATGTCAAGTCGCCGTAATTTTTACTACAATCTTCGATCAACTCGCCCGATTCACCATCGAGCAGTTCTTGCTATGGGCTATCAACGCGAACGCGAGAGCGCCGGCGAGCGCCTTGGTCTACCAGGCGGTCCTCGGCGTGCGATTTATTCTGGGCGGCGTATTTGTTGGGTTCCAGAAGGCTCAGATTGCCACCGTTTGCGTTGCCAGGAATGATCTTCTGGCTATCGGTGCTGTTGTCATGGTCACAGACTTTGCCGTGATTGCTGCGCTCGCCTTCAGAGCCAACTCGATTGGCATCACGAGTGTGCCGGTGAAGAAGGCCATCTTCTGGGTCATTGGCGCCCTCGCCCTCTGGACTGCGGTACGTGTTACACGCCATTGCTTTGACATATCATAATACTAATCACACATCATCTTGATAGACAAGTATCCCAATGCTTCTGGGCATAGACACTATTGAGCTGATCTTCAGAACTGCTCTTCCCGCCACTGGCCTGTCAATCCTTCTCAGTACGTGCCGAGCCTTCGACTCGCTGCGCTTGTTTGCTAACACTTCCCAGGCATCCTAACAGGCTCTCTGGGAGTCTTGCTACCCCCTCGCCAAAAGCAAGAAGTTCATCCGGATGCCCAGTCCCCACGAAACATCAGTTCCAGCAGAGACCTCTCAACTTCAGACACTGACTACCCGCCGTCGCGATACGAGGACCTCAAAGGAGGCACAATTACTACTGTCACGACTTTCAACCAACCTGTTGACTTTGGTGGAGGTGTCGGCGGTGGCGCTCTGCCCACCATGCCTAGCATCGCTCCGGGTCAGGCATCTACCGGTGTAGGCGGTGTTCCCGTGCAGGGCCAGCTCTTCCCACCGATTCGGGCGCAGACGGCACCTCCCAGGCAAAGCAGGAGCATGGACGCGAGACCCAACATCATGAAGGGACGGAGTATCTTCGACAAAATTGGACCGGGCTCGAATATCAAGAATGCTATATCCAACCCGATCCTCCAGGACAGCGGAGAGCAGAACCCCCTGAGCAAGATCGCCACCATCGACCTCGCCACGGCCGCAAAGAACGACAGGGAGAAGAGAGGCAACGACTTTACTTCGATGCAAAGGAACTCGAGCTTCAACGCGCAGCGCCCGGCTCCCAAGCCCCCAGCGATTACTCCGGAAGAGGCTCTCAAACGTGCTCAGAGTGGAAAGAGGAAGGAAGTTGGGCTGAAGTCGCCTCCTGCGGAACCGCAACAACTCCGATCGGTTGGGCTCATGTCGAATCCCCCCGCAACGACTTCGTCCGCCCAGCTGTCCCCCGGCGTAGAGGAAATCAGACGCAGATCCCCCAGGCAAATGCCAGAGACCCTCCAGCAGCTCGAGAACGAAAAGAGACCGGTCACGCCCCCGCAGACCGCACCTGTGAGCAGCATCTCTCCGCCTCGGCCACAACGCCCGGAAAGACCCCTGAGCCCCTTTGAGACGATGGACAGATCAGCCAGCCAGCGTACTGTGGAAAGGACTATGAGCCAGAAGACGCAAAAGACCCTCGACCGTTCCGTGAGCCAGAAATCCTCTACTGCGACCGAATTCACAGTTGCATCACCGCCCCTTGGTCTCGTACCTCCGCCTCCACCCAAGAGCGCCGCTCGTTTGATGTCACCTACCAAGAAGCCGGATCTACCACCAACCTGGCCGATTCAGACCGCCGTTGACCCGACAATCCGTCCCTCCAGGCAAAAACCTCTTTCGCCCAAGACACCTGGTGGCAGCAGTTTACAGCGACGCCCGACAGGTGGCCTGCCATCGAACCCTAGAGCGATGGCCATGAGGCCTTTGCCCAAGGACGCAGTTCAACAGGAGCAGACTGTCATGTTCGTGAACAAGATCCAGTACAATGACCCGACGGCAGTGCAAAGCATCATTGAGGGAGCCTCGAACCAGGCCGCCAAGACGCCTCATATGCAGTCTCCTGGGCCAGGGCTCAAGTCATCAGGGTCCGTCGTTCATAGACCTCGCCCGATTCCGAGACAGCAGGGCAAGGACCGTCAAATCTTCCCAGCAGAGAACTCTCCTAACCACAGGCGGAGCAAGTCAGGTGGTTCCATCATGAGCAGGAAATCAATTCTGTTATCGAATCCTGGCAGCCCGACTCAATTGCCACCTCTGCCACCACCACCGAAGAGCGCCGGTAACCATCCTGTACGCGCACTGCCAAATGACACCAAGAGCATGACCTTCGATGAGAAGATGGATCTTTTCTTCCCGGGAGCTCTTGGCAACTCTGAGGCGGGCGTCCAGCCCAGAACCCCAGTTCCCGAGATGCCCATGGTTCCCTTGGCCTTTAAGCCTGCGAGCAACTCGGGAGGTGATGAGAGAGATGCATGGGAATCAGGAAGCAGTCGGGATCAGTCCAAGCAGTCCGATCGCTCGACCAAGACGTCCATTCGCACTCAGAGTATTCTTGATATCGAAGAGTCAGTTCGGCCAGATCTGCCTCGCAACACCTCCAAATTCAGCGTTGATACCTCCGTCATTACTGGAAGACCTGATGAGCACGACTCTTGGATTCCTGCGTTACCTGTCAACGACACCGCGGAGATCAAGCGAGCATACGATGGAGCAAAGCGCCAGTCATCACCTGTGCTTCCGGTTCGCAACCTTAGTCTCTCTGAGTTCAGCGAGACGAGGACGGTCAGGACTCGCGATGAAGAGACCACGACAAACTGGGGATCCATTCACTCACCTGTCGCGCCGGTGAACATCCAAGAGGCTACGCACATGCCGAAGCCGACTTGGATCCAGCCTCGCGACTTATCCATGATCAGCCACAACGACGGCAAGGAGGTCATGACAATCATGCTCGATGCATCTATTGAGCATGAGAGAGACGTGGAAGCCCCGCAAGAGGCTCGCGAAAGCCCCGTCAACCTTCCAGAGGTGAGCCTCGCAAACAGAGGTGCTCGCTGGCATCGTCGCATCGGCGACGAGAGCA